ATTCACCAACTTAAAACAAAACCCATCTTGAAGAAGTGGACACATATTTTAGCTTATGTATTGGCAATCACTGGTTGTTGGACTTGGTTCATTCAAGCAAGAAGTTCAGTTCAGAAGTTTCTGAGCTAATTTTGTTTTCTCCTGTATTTCCAACAGCACCCCAAAGAAGGTGACAAGAAGACAGTCTACACACACAAATCAGCAACTGCAAAGTTAATTTAGAGGTGATTTTATTTAACTGCTGTATGACACAGTGTCTCAAGTATTTAAATACACTGTATATGTGTATCTGTGTATTCTACCAGTAAATTAAGAGGGCTTAAGTAGTGAGTGGGAGGCTGCGTGGTAGTATGAATCAGTAGTTTCTGCAAACAGAAACAACAAACTAACTATGAAATGAATGTGAACCAGCTCATTCTAATAACTGTGGCTTGAACACTAAGCTTTTTAAGTGAGAACCTTGTGAACACTGGACTGTTTCCTCATAGCTTCATTTGACATCTTTACTTGTTACTTGTGTATCTTTTCCTTGTTCCTTGTAGTGTTCTGAATGTTAGTTCTTATCATAGTTTAACCCATTAAAGCCTAAACCATGAGATAATTGCCAAAAAACTAAAATATTTTGAAAGTGTGTATTGAACCTTCTGAGAAACAATTAAAAAAAATTAAATATCAGTTTCCATATATGACTTGTTTTGCTACATTTCTGTGGAATTTATTGCTCTGAATTTGTTTATTTTACACTTCTTCTATGATCTGTGAGCTTCCTCATAGATCATCTATGAATAAGATTACATAGATAATTAGCATTGCTAAGAATACAGCAAAATATTAAGCTGCAACCCAACAGAACAAATGAAGGACATGCTCTAAATTCAAACAGAGGTTTGAAGAAGTAACAACCCAGGAAACAATAGGCTAAATGAAAAATGAAGCTCTACCAGACTCCAAAATAACTTCCACATCTGGTTTGGGATCTATGGGAAAGATGTAGGTTGTATGTCTGTGTAGGTTCTCAATCATCCAGGTCACGATAATCTAAGAGCTTTGTTTAAGTTTCTTGAAGACATTTCACCTCTTATCTCGGAAGCTTTTTCATTTCTAAGAGCAAATGGTGGAGAGTCCCAGATATGTAAGCCCCACTGGGAGTGTCCCTTGAGAAGCTTGTTGACCCACTATTGATTGTTTTGCCTAATCACACAAGCCAAGGTGTAAAAACGGGTGTGGGTCAGCCAAGGTTTCAGGTGAACCCAAAATGAACGTGCCCCACCCTATTATGTGACTTACTGAGACCAAATGACCAAAGAGGTGAGTGGGTGTTAAGACACATGGGAAGATCTTCTCTTTGGCTCTCGGAGGAGGCGGGAGCACTTTTTCTCCTCTCCCTTATCTTCCCTGCTTATGTCCTTGTCTAGTTTCGTGTTTTGTTTTGTATTTTCCCTGGAACATT